CAACGAATTTCCTTGGTTTACTTGTATAGTTTATTATTTGTATTAGAGTGTATATACCTTTAAACTGGAGAAAAATTTTTTGATAATGACTATTAAAAAACTAGATGTTATGTATGTGATTTGTATTTTGTGAATTATATTTTCTGTTTATCTATTGATGTTCACATTTTGGATTATTATATAGAAAAGATAAAACTAAATATTGTTAACAGAGGATGATTAAAAACGATGATTTTCAAATCATATCATCATTTGTCATTTTTTATTATAAATTTATATTTTATGATGTATTTTTTTTTAAAATTACAACGAATATATATAAAAAAATAAAAGATAAAGCCCATAAAAGCATTGAATGTATATAAATTTCTAAAAAAAAAAAAAATTCAACTCGTAAATGTCACTCATTATTAACGTCAACGGTTTTGTTTGTTTTTAAATATTCACAACATTAATTATTATAAAATTATAAATTATATTCTATAAAATAAAATTAAAATTAAAATTAAAATTAAATTAAATTATTTGAATTATTATCACTATCATTAAAATTGTTATTATTGTTATTATTGTTATAATTGTTATTATTGTAATTACTATTGGTACTATTATTAGTAGTATTAAAAGTACCTCGACCCAAATGTTTTTGTTGCTGTTGTTGATGATAAGCTGATACATCTACAGGTGAATTTGTTAAACTATTATTATTACTATTACTATGACCATGATTATCATGATATACTACACTACTACGAGCCGAACTAAGAGGTGATGACATTAAACTGCTAGCAGGACTACTAGTAAAAACATTATTATTATTTCCTAATATTGGACCTCCCGCTAAAGGTGGTGGTATCATCAAAGAATCAGCACGGGGCCTTGTACTTGTACGTTTACTAACTCCTCCACGTGGATTAAATGGTAATGGTGGAGCTGATTGTAAATATGATTTGTCGAAACCAGCAAAATTTGATATCACAGATGTAGGTCTTGAGGAAGCAAAAGCCGAAGGTGGTGTAGTTAGTGTAGCAGGTGTTGATGTTATTGATGATGCTGATGATAGTACATTATTGTAATTTTCATCGGGCAACATTTGAGCCGTTGAGAAAGGTATTAACTGTGAATTACGTATCTTCATTCGTTTTTCCCTTTCCCATTCTGCCCATTTCTTCATCACTATTCTCGAACTGTCAAATACACCTTCTTTACGTGAATGATCCTCACCAGAGACTTCACCCTCAACCACTCTCGTTTGTCCCCATGAGAAATCATCAAAATGCCAATATGCATAAACAGGTAAAACAAAATTCCATATTGGTAGCGAAAACAAATAAACCAACATCCATCCAACATAAATAAGTTTTCGTGTGGTGAGTAATATAAGCACGGCTGGCAAACCTAAAACAGCTGCTAAAAGTAATAGAGGTATCACTGGTACAGGACGTTTAACAAACGATATGATGACAAGATACACTGTGAATGTAATTGCGGCCGGCAACACCACTGTTCCCACCAATTCCATAAATATGACAAATTGCATAGAGAAACAAAATGTACCGCACAAATCTGGTATCAGCACAAGTTCCAACAAGTTATGAACTGTTGAATTGATCCATCTACGTCTTTGAGATCTCAGAACTTCAAATGTGTCTGGGACAATTGTTTTACAAATAGCTTGTGGCACAAACATCATTTTCCTTTTAGGAAAAGTTTTAAGCATCAGGGTTGTTAGGTAGCGATCTTCTCCAAGTAGTAAAAGATTTTTTTTGTGAAGTGTGTCAACTATATTTTCAGAATATTGTTCAACGATATCTGGATTTGCTAAAATTGGTACCCAGTATCCGTTTGGTCCTTTTGGTGCTTTGATACGATACATACAGAAACAACCGGGTAAACATGTAACACCACCAAATATTGATTCGAAGGCTTTTTGCATATGATGATTAATATAATATTCAAAAACTATGAAACAATAAAAATGTTAATAAACATACATTTTATAATTATTAATATGATTTATTAATGGCATTATTTAATAATTTAGATGAATTACCTTGAATTGCAGTAACCCAGCTATCAGTTTTATTTGCAATTTTTGTTTCACCACAAAGTCCCATTACATTAGGATCTCTTGACATACAAGCAATCATACGAGTTAATGAATCAGGATAAATTTTAGTATCAGCATCAACCTATAAAATTAAAATTAAAAAATAAAAATAAATCGTTATTTAAAGTGCAAATATTAAAAAAAATCACCCTCTCCTTTTTTTTTTTCAATATTTACCATAAGAACAATTTCAAAGTAATCTGGTGTGACGCCACTAACACTACGAACTGCGTTAAAAAACTCATACTCAAGAGGTGTCATTCTTTCATCAAACATGACTTTTTGTAGAAAGCCCATTAAAATAATTTGTGAGTCTCTTTTTCCTCTATTACCAGGTTTCTTGTCGTCCTGTTCTTCTGGACCACCACACTTTACAACAGTTACCATTGGTATGCGTTTAGTTTTATTTTCCAAATCTTTATAACTATAGAAACCAGCGTAAACTCTTGCCATATTATGACGTTTTTTACCATCAGCAATAGCAACATAGGAGTGAGCTTGTACCAATTCTGGTAATATGAAGAAGTCATTCATCAATGATAAACAAATATCTGGAGTTGATTTATCGTTTCCTGATCCTTTTATTATACCATCAGCTATCACCATAATAAGCTTATGTGAAGAGGGATAGTCGGTATTAGCCAACGAGTCCAGAGTGGTTCTAAGGCCCTGTTCACCCTCAGAATAACAAGTGACCAATAATATAGTGTGTATAAGTGGGAAGTTAAAACGTTGTTCAGGCTCTTGGGGTAATTGCTGGAAAGAAGAAGTCTGGGCAAGAGATGAAGTGGAAGATGACATGGAGTCAGTACGAGTGTGATTGTACTCGTTGATAGAAGAGCGACGACTTGTCCTTCCTGAATCCGTTTCTTTAAAGTGTCCTGTGTTAAAACTATTAGTTGTAGATAACGGTCTTACAAGGGAAGTAGTTGAACTGTTTTTATTAAAAATATTCTCACCAGACCCATTCCCATTCGGCAAATTGTACATCCTTGTGGAACGATTTTCTACTCTTCTGTTACGATCATAAGTTCCAGTACCTGGTGATTGAGTTGAATATCTTGATGTACTTAAAAATTTGAACGAATTTCTAAAAAAGAGAATAATTAATTAATTTTGTAACTGATATGGTAATACAATACAACTCAACAAAATTATATATATATATATATACCTGTTGCTAGTGGCGGGAGAAGAGGGAGCAGGTGGTGGTTTAAAATGTACATTTTCATCTGACCATTTTTCAATATCTCGTTCACGCATAGCAAGCTCCTCTGCGGTTTCCTCACGAAAACTGCCCAATCTCCAACTTAATATCCAACCAAACAATACGGCCAAAGAAAATCTGACCAATACCACACCAACGATTACCATCAACGAAACATAAGTTACAACATCAGTGATCATACACCCTATTGAATTAAAATCTACAACACCAACTCTTACTGTCTCCTCTAAACATTTTGCTAATTGGATGCGATCCACATTTTGCTGCATGTAATAAGTTAGATCACGACCTCGATAATTGTCAATTTCGGTCACACTGATTTGCTTTAATAACGGAATCATCTCAATGTTTGAAACCAAATATTTAAGTTTTCCCAAATCGAGCACATTACCATTATGAACAACAAAATTGCGATCACCTCTTTGTACATCATCCCAATCGAAAAATACGTCACCGACATAAGTTAAAGCATCAATATCAGATTTTGAAACGTCGACATCATGACACCCAAAATTAGTAGGATTATCAGTAGGCTTAAGATCCGAAAAATCATCAATTGCATCAGTTGCATTACAAGGGAAATAGTTTTGAAGTTTTCCATTTTTGGGTATTAGAATATTTTTACATTCGTTATTTAGAGTTTGAAATAAAAATGATATATCCTTTCCACCGGCCAAACCATTCAATAAATTCCCGCCCTTTTTTTCAGTGATATCAGGTAGTTCAACGGGATGTGGATAGTCGGTTAGATCATAGATACTACCTAGTATGACGGCTTGTTGCAGACTGACACCGCCTACACGAACTCTTGGTGGAGGTATGCCACATAAAGCTTGAGTGAAACCAAAAGTCAAGAAACCCACGGCGGCACAAAGAATCAATATTATAGATACCAAAGCCATTTTTTCTCTCCAAGCTCTTTGAACCAATTTATCATGCATACCAAAGCAAGATAATAGAGAAGGAGGAATACAACAAGTGACACAGTTGGTATATATTAACCAAGTGGAAAAGCATTGACATTTATACCACTTTCTTTTTTTAGGTGGTTCTCTCGTTGAAAGTCTTCTATTAAGTGGTCGACTCAAACGTCTCTCATCGCCACCGTCGTCATTACCACCAGCCCCGACATTGCCATTAGCAGTAATATTAAGAGCATTTGGAGGAAGGATACTCCATCTCTCAGTGGAATCATCGACAGCAAAATTTGTCACACCTCTACTTATTCTACGTTGATTTCTCCTTGCACGCTCAGGTCTTATAAGAGATTTTTGTCTACGAGGTCCTGATTCAGATTTCGGTATGTCTTGACCATTATTATTATTACCATAATTATTGTTGTTGACGTCGTTATGGTTGTTATGATAATCAATATCATTATTTAGTACAAGAGTTGTTCTTATTTTTGGTACTTGTAAACTGTTATTATTTGTGCTATCATTTGGACGAGGTCTATAGTTCTTTGAGATAGATGGAATTTTATTAAGTTTATTATTATTTCCGCTGTTGGCATTTTCGTCATCCTCTTTATGATTTTTGTTGAGAACCTCCATCTCTAAATTTTCAGATTTGATTCCTTTATAATAAAGGAAAATATTATTAGTTGAAAGAATTTTTGGTCATTCTTGAATATATTAAAAAGAACAGAAGAACAAGAAAAAACATAGGAAAGGAATAGAAATAAAATCGATCAGATTATCTAAATAAATGTATACACTTGTGTGTATATATATATATATACACACACACACACACACATTAATAAATCTATATTTTTATGCAATGCTTACCAGTTGTTAATGCGGTAGAAACAATAGTATTACGTTTGTTTTTGCTTTTGCTTTTACTTTTACTTTTACTATTACCATCAACTTCACTGGTTACTCTATAGGCATCATTAAAGAAATCTGTAGGATGATCATGATTTTCCAAATCGCCACTTTCTTCTTCTTTTATTATTCTGTCATTATCATTACCATCATTATTACTATTATTATATGGTAAAATTGAAGAAATTCTTTTTGATTTTTTAAAATTTGAATTTTCCAAATCTTGTGAATAACTTTGATATTTTTGATTCTGGCTTGGATCCTTTGATGCTGTCAAATTAATTTTATTATTGTTATTATTATTCAACCCATTCTCTGAATTATTATTATTGTTGTCGCGATAATCGTTTGCAATTAAAGATTTTGAAGTAGTAGAATCATCAAAAGGATCACTGTAATTATTTACACTACGTAGTGGTGATACAGTTAATGATGATGATGGTGATAGCGATCTATTATTATATAATGTTGATGATGTATTTGATGAAGATGAAGATGAAGCAGATACTGATTTTTTTAAATTTGGATTTGGATTTGGATTTGGATTTGGATTTTTATATACATTCTGATTTTGATTTGAATATTGATTTTGAATATTAGTAGTTATTATTGACGATATTCTTTTATTGTTGTTTGAAGTGTCTTTATTTTGAAATGAACCTGAATTTCTATCTGTCATTATTTTTTATCTGGTTTTCTTGAATTATCAATATGCCGTGTATATATACTATGTATGTGTGAAATTATGTACGTGAGTTATATAATTGTAGCAGTAAACGATATTATTTTAAAAAATTAATTAATTAAATTATCTTTAATTTCGCTCGTTATATTATATGTGAATTATTTACGTGTTTTTTTTTCTTTTTCTTTTCACTTTTTTTTATATATGATATTATCTAAAGATTATATAATTTTAACAAAAAAATAGCTAACTTTAAATTTAAATATAGATTATTAAACTAAAGAAAAGAGTATATAACTAAATATTTATTATTATTATTATTATTATTATTATTATTATTATTATTATTCTAATGCTCGGATTATTATTTATTATTTTCTATTAATTTTTTGCAAAAATGTTTTGAATATATATGTCATTTAGAAAAGAGAAAAATAACCTTCTTTTTCTAAAGAACCAATATAATTATAATAATAATAATAAATAAATAAATAAATAGGAATGAACGAAGAAATAAGAGAGTTTTTTTTTTATTATGAAAAAAGAATTAAATTTTTAATTTACACATAATAATAATAAATAATATAAATAATAAATAAACGTCCAAACAAACCAGAAAATATATAATTCAAGTAATTATTAATTTATTAAATACCCTCCAAAAAAACTTGAATATGTAAAATTATTATAAATACAATCGAATTAAATATTCCGAAGAATTAGTTATTTATATTATTTATACTATTTCTTTATTTAAAAATCCCAAATTTAAAATTGTATTTTTGTGTGTGTATGCATAAAATTTATTTATAAAATAAGATCATGCACGCATTTTTGTTACGTTACTATTCTTTATTTGTATTCTTTAAAAAAAAAATGACATATATATATATATATATATATATAAGTTTACGTCATGAACTAAAATTATTTAAAATATTAAAATATTTAAAAAAGAATAAAAATAAAAAATTATTAACATTTATCATTTTTTCACTAACAAACCATTATAATAATATTATTATTACCAGCAATAAATTAATATTTCCATTTATTATCATACTCATCTAATCGAACAAATCATAATTTATACAATATTAAACTAATACATCGTCATCCATCTCCTTTATTATTTATTTTTAAACGATGTTCTTATTACAATTGAGGTTGTAATAATAATGACCGATTTTTTTTTTTTTAATTAATTAATCATCATTCAATCATTCATTGATTGAATGACTGATTCATCGATTCACCAATTTCAATACATCTTTGCTTGGTTGATCGGCAAATATTAGCAAATCAAATAATAATGTAAATAATCATGCATCTCTGGAATTGAAAGCCATGTTTGGAAAATGTGAAATGATATAAATATAAACCCGTTGCTAAATTTAATGTAAGGATAATTTTAACCCATACTAAAACCGGTTTAATCAAGGTTTTAAACCTGAATCGATGCTGTTCGGTTCAACAATTACAATAGCCTAATTGTCAATTTATATATGTTACACCAACCGACATAGCCTTGTAATTCAAATTTATACGTTTCTTTCAAGAAATGATGAAACTCAAAAGTGTCGTATTTGTACAGTTGCATATGAAACTAATTGAAGAAGTCTTTAAAAAATCATATCCGAAACGAATATCCGAATGGACATCTGTTCAATTAGTCGTTAAAGCTGTAATTTACCAAATGAAGATCAAGTGCAACCCCCCTTCGTGTGGTGATCTACATGCACAAAACCTTACTCCGTTGTAGGTATAAATTAAGAAGTCTTTTTGACCCTTGAAACCTCATGTGCATTATTATGCTTAGAAAGTTGGACATTTTGACGAAAAGATGTTTAATATTATTACAACATATAAATTATAAAACCGCGATTTAAACTCCGAGTCAAATTGAGCAATTTGAACTACAATTTGTTAACCAAACTGGCAGTTTATAAACCGTCCTCGTCCCTAATTTAATATGTAAGCATTATATATCATTACTAATTAAAATCTCACGCATAGTAGCATTATGTATTTAGTTCATTATGTTGGAATCTCGTATTAGTATTTTTTTATTTTTATTTTTTTTTGTTTATATACATTGTGTTGCGAACGAAATGGTAAAATTAATGGTAATAATAAAGCTATATTTGTAGATATTAACATGCCACAATATTTACACACTGGCAACAAACAGCATCATGTTCAATCGGGAAATTTGTACCTCAATGACCAAAATGGCGCGTGGGAGAGACACATTGTCACACTGAATAAATAATTTGTTATATAACGCGTTTTTTTAAGGATTTAAATTATCTGTCTGTTAAAATTAATTCTTGATCATAATCATCTGGGCAACCTCCAGCAAAAATCACCAGGGCTTCGATCAAAAAAAATTTTTTTTTACACAATAATGTTAATCTATAACATAATTGGTAATATGCCCCCGAGATATCTTTATTTCCGTAATCTAAAAATAGAATAGTTAATTTCGACCGATTAAATAAATGATCAATTCAAGTTTGATTTTCCTTTTTTCGTACGACAAAGTTTGATCTCAAAATAAAATATATTTTGCCTCGGAGGTAGTCTTTAGTCCCACCATGGTATTTTCCGATGTATTTTCCAACTTATCATTCATTATTATTATACAAGTATGCTTGACATTTAAACCGGTAAGCCTTGGAGGATTGGCTAATTTAATTTTCATATAGATTTCATTTCACGCACAATAAATTCCAAAAGCATCAAGTGAGTGATCTTACATTTCAGCTTCTTTGTTTTTTGATAATAATTTATTTACTAATAAATGCTTAGGGGATTACTTTTTTTTAATAATGGCAATATTTTATGTTTTATGTATGATGTTATAAAACTAAAAATGGCCAAGTAATACCATATAGGGGTTCTTTTCGTAATACAAATTCTTATTCGAATTATTCGTAATACAGTCAATCCTTAATATTAATTCGAATTTTATTCGTTTTATCCAAATTATTAGTTTATTCATTTTATAAAATATAGGTTTTATTTCTTTAAAAAGATAATATAAACAATAATTATATTTATAATCTATATTACTACTATAATTGCTAGTACTATGACTTAAGGAAAATGTCAGTTACTACTATTTATTATTATCACTATATTCAAGGACCAAGGAAAAATAGATTGATAAAGAAAAGAATTTTTTAATTGGATTGGATTATTTGAATTATTATTATTATTATTGTTCATTTTATTTGAATTGCTAGTTTTATTCAAATAGAAGCCCTATTACTATCCCACTAATATTAGGATAGGACATCATTTATTCAATAAAGTAATTGTTTGAGTTAAAATATAGTTGGCGAGTATGATCTTGGTAATAAAAATAGTAATATGACACTAGAATAAGAATGATTATCTATGTTGTAAATGCATTATCAATATTTTTGAATAAGTCAAGCAAGGTTTCAAAATTTATAGCAATTGTTTTTGGTTAGTGTAAGTTTATTCTGAAATGAATATATATGTCTTTTCGACTTTTAAATTTTGTAAAAAATGGTTGGTCCAAACCTGTTAATATTGAAGAGATTTATGGAAGCAATTTTTCGTGCATGTCTGATTTTTTTTGAAGCAATTTGAAAATTTTACAAATAATATGTATTAAAAAGTACAATGATTATTTTTAATGAAAAAGTAGCCAAAATTATATGATAACAGAGAATTGGAGGATCTTAGATTATAACATATGAAATTTTTGAAGCATGTTATTATGTAGGCTTTAGAGCAATTATTAAAGAAATTTACACATTGAATTGTTTTTTTCAAAATAATCAATTCCTTTTATTTCCAATTGACAAAATTTTAGAAAATCTGAAAGTATGAAAGTTTATATATATAATCTCCAGAACTTTCATTACACACTGGTATAATTTTTTGTATGATTATTATGTATATTTTTGTGTCAGGCTTATTATTAAAATTTTCTGTGTTAAAATTTCAGAGGCAAAATTTTTGCAAAGTTTTAAAAAAAAGATATGAATAGCTTTATAGAAAATTG